CCCGCCGGCGCCATACTTGGACGCCGCCACCCTGCCGCGCTATCTGCACACAAAAGACGACAATGTTAGTTAATGTGCCTAAAACATTGTTTCATAAAATATTTGAACCGACATAGGAGACGAAGAGAAAGGACCTATGTTAGCCCTACGCATACATTCATAGGAAAGGTGCATAGTTTATATCGTACTTAATGTAACTAATGAACAACATTATACTGACACATTTACGATACTTCCACCGGTCATGAGCTAGCACGACACGACAGAGCAACCTGTTTTCTGACCTAAATGATACCCGAAACCAGTTTCGTATCTTATCAATATTAGAATAAAACGGTTTACTTTTTTCAGGTTAAGTAATTTTATTTCTTTATTGTTTGCGAGCAATTTAAGTAGTCGTTTGTGAGCACATTTTTTTTAGGGTGTTAGTTAATAATGGACTGCCCGTCGAGACAGAATTGTCGCCGCGTCCATGAAACGGTTGTTTTGTAATTTAGATGGAGTACGAAATCAAGACAGCGGCTGTGGAATTGAAACAATAATTTGCAGCGGGCGCGGGGCGCTGGTGGCGGCCGCCACGCGCCGCCGGCCATCGGTGTCGCGCCGATAGCGCCGCTCGGAGCTGCTCGGAGCTGCTCGGAGCACCACTTCGATACAATGCCGACACTATTTTTTTAATTTCCTTGCAAACGAACATTTAAATTACATATGCTACACCATTTTTAATACATTTCTACATCCCTTAAAATTAAAAAATCTTTAGTTCGGTGAAAGTTTTATTGTGATATACCTATTTAATGAGAAATTTTTATCTATAGCCAATCGGCAGTCCACTATAATCAATGGAGTTGTTTATACACGCAGATTTAACTATGTAATAAAATTAATGAATATGAAGATAACATTGTGCTAGTGTATGTTATAACTTGGGTGTGTGTTAATTGCAAAGTACACTGTCAACAACGGGCAACAATTAATTGTTTATGAACGTAAATATATGTCAGATGTATATAAATTAAAACAATAAATTTAATTGTAAAAAGTAAAATAGTTTGCTCTCTTAATTTTTGAGTAGGTAATTGGGACCTTGTATATGTGAAATATTAAAATGTTGTACAAAATTAGACCCATGTTTTGATTTATATGTTTTCTGTAGATATTAAAGAAGTCAATTGTATTTTACATGACACGTATTAACGAAATTGTTGCCGAAATCTGTAAAGTTAACGCGCTCGGTGGCAAATCAATGCGTTGTATTGCATTTTTGTAACAGCCACTGGGTATTTGTAAATTTTCAATTCGTCAAACGTAGACAAAAGTATTTCATAGAAATGACAACACGCACGCCGTTTGTCAATATGGTGTCGGCACGCAAGCGATTGCAAGATCGATT